TTCACAATCTTGAAGAAGTCTTGCATTTTATACACGTTGATCATCCATTATTCAACTAGTCAGCCAAGACTTCAATATGTTGGAGAAACACGCAAATCTTTTCATCCAACCCTTAACTCTGAATAAGACGTTGATGGGGGCGGAGTAAACTCTTGGAGTTGAAAAACCTTCCAAGTAGCTGTCCGGCTTAGTGATCAAGGAAGCTAACTTGTTATAGCTTGTACTAGGAGTGATAGTGCAAACCTTTCATAAGTTGTGAAAGAAGAGTGGGGTAGGCTCAGTTGGCCGAACCACTATAAAAATCTCTCATCTCTCTCTATTTACATATCGCTTTACTTTCGTGCACAGCATATCATTGGGCCCTAAACCAAAAGTTTCATAAGCGTAAAACAGTGCAAAGCAACACTAAAACTCGTTTAACAAATCCGCTGCGTAATAACCCCGAAAGGAGTTATTTCTGTAAAAATCAAATTGAGTCTATTCAACCCCCCCCCCCCTCCCCCTATAGACTCTCCTTTCGACCCTACCGAGACCAACAGAATTCATATCGATAATATTCGTTGATTATTGTATGATTTTGCGCATCAAAGTGAAGTATCATATATGTGCCTTATGTCCACATTCAAAATGGTCTAGTTGAATCTCTAATTAAGCGTATTAAATTGATTGTCAAACCATTATTGTTACAAAAGTCCAGTTTACTAGTTACTTGTTAAGAACATGCAGAATTACATGTTACTTATAACTTTAATAAAATTCTGCCCCACTACACATCACAATTACTCCCATGTGGCACAAAACCAGTTATTTCCTATTTGCGTGTATTTAGTTGTGTAGTCTATATCTCTATACCCCTATACATCATACCTATATTGGCCCACATCTAAAGCTATATATATGTTGGTTATGAATCTCACTCTATCACTAAATAATACTTTGAGCCCATAACAGGGTATTAATTTACTATGGGGCACATTGACCTTTTTTTTTTTTCTTTTTTTTTTTAATGAAGATCATTTCATGGTATTATGGGGATATAAAAATTCATATTTAACAAAATACCGAGAAATCTCATTAGCTTATTATTGAAAAAAAAAAACCCCTAAATCTTTGCACTTTGTTGAAACTATATTCAAACCTTTAAATTTTGAAATTTTTAATACCAAAGTATTTACATTTTTTAGCAATTTTACCCAATTATACTTCAACCCACCATTGAGATGACCTGACCCAAAATTGACAAGTTGGAGTATTATTTGGAAACTAAACATCTACATTATCATATAATTAAATTTACATTATTTTCATAATTTTTTTACTATAGGTAGAATTGCAACATTTATATTAGAAACAATGTCATCTTGATGGTCAAATTATCATAATTTTTTTATGACTATATATATATATGTGTGTGTGTGTGTGTGTAGAATTTCACATTATCATATAATTAAACACAATCGTCGAGAACTACAAATCTAAAGTAAGTATAATACAAGAATCGAGTTAGTTATCTATTACTAAACTAACAATTTAACATGAACAAAGAGGATTTTCAAAACACTGACTTTAATTTATATGAAAGTTAAGACTTGTTGATATATATATATATATATATATATATATATATACACACACACGTATGAGTTAGATGTGAAAGCAATAAACATGCATAGAGTTGGTATCTTTTGCATGGAAAATAATGAAATAAGCACAGTATATATACAGTCAAAATATGGATAAAGGCCACAAGTGTAGAAGACCACCTACGAAAAGACACAAACACTGCATCCCCACTTTGAATGTTTTGTTCTGAGACTGTCTGCTCCATTTTGCATGCGTAGTAAAAGTTTTTCCTCACCATATCACAAAAAATCAGAACAAAGTACCAAAGGATCGGAAAAGAAAAAGGAATATACTTGAGGCCGGCCGGCCTGTTAACTTGGAGAAAGGAAAAAAGAAATTATTTTTAGAAAAATATAAATGAAAAAGTGAATACTGTACGTGTTTATGTTGAAAAGCGAAAGATGAAGAAGCGTTTTCCATTTATAAAAACTCAAGTCATGTTTAATTATCTGTAATTTTATCATATGTTTTCTTTCTTTTTAAAGTGACATTTTTTATCTCTTCTTCTAAAAAGGTTGAATTACATCATGTTAACTCAACTGAACATGAACCATTGCTCACTGCGCACAAGGAACCCCCTCACCACAGCTGGTGAGACACTGAGACTCGATCCCTGGTCATTATATTCTTCCAAAATTTCACCTCTGTGACCATTTGAGTTGCACATGCGGGTAACATTTTTTATCTCTTAGTTATACTTCTTGTCACTTTTTAGACACTTTTCATTTCTAAATTTTATTAGGGTTATGTTAAAATGCCACACCCTAGACAATTGAGAGTCAAAATGTGGCGACGATATTATTGTCTATGTATGAATTTCCTTTTGTTTACTTTTTTTTTTTAAAAAAAATTCAATACTTCTACTCCCTCCATTTGGAGAATTCTCTATATGACAATTTTGGAAATTCTATTTTTTAAAGGAAAAATGAAAACCCCAATTTTCTTAAGAGGGACAAATAATTCTTCTGAAGCAAGAGTCAAAATAAAAGGCTGTAAAAAAATAAATAAATAAATAAATAAATAAATAAATAAATAAAGTGAGAGAGTTATCTGGACATGTAACTTTAATTTCATAATCATATCACTTATCAGGCTTGGAGTTACATTGTTTATAATGGTGACATTCAACATAGAGAAATGAGCCAAAATCATCATGTTTAAGCAGTCTAAGAGCAATATATCTTTCATGTAAATGGAGTAAATGGAGAAAGAAAAGAGAAAGATGATGTGAAGAGAAAGAGGCTGTGAAGTGAAAAGTGTAATGACTCTTAGAGCAAGTAGGCGGGAAATGGAGAGTAGCACAGAATTATCAGGGGGAGAGGGAAGGGAGTAGAAATGGGGAAGAAGAAGAGGAAGAGCAGCGGGGAGAGAGAGAGATCGAGATTTGAGAGAAAAGAGTAATCTGTTGATTAATTCCAGCATGAAATCTCAATACAATCTATATTCCTTATTCCAAAAGGCTGAATCCCAACTCTAAGGGCCCCCCACACCTCGGCCCGACAGAGCATTTGGAAGGATAACAATCTATATTCCTATTTATACTAAAAAGATGAAAAAATATCTAATAACCACTTAACAAATCAACAACAACTTCAACGACTACGGCCAGTGTTGCAAAAATCGAGCCTAGGCGCTTGTCGGTCGCCGCGAAGAAGGCCGGAATCGACCTCCTCCGCGACCGGCCGACTGAATCGGCGTTCAATTTTTTTTTTATTTTTTTTATTTTTTTTGCATTAAAAAGTGGAAAAAGTTCGAGAAGGCATAACTTTTGATTCGGTTGTCCGTTTTGGACAATTTTTTTTCTTGAAATCGCCTATTTTTTTAGATCTATACACCGCAAACCAGTGTACAGATCTCGAAAAAATACGCAATTTGAAAAAAAATTGTCCAAAACGGACAACTCAGTCAAAAGTTATGTCTTGCCAAAGTTTCTACACTTTTCAACAACAAAAAAAAAAAAAAAAAAAAAAAATTAAAAATTAAAAATTGTTCAGCCGACTAGGCGGTCTAGCCGGCTGCCTAGACCGCCTAGCCGCCCGGCAGCAGAGGAGGCCGATTCCAGCCTAATAGTCCGCGGTCGGGCGGCGCCTAAGCGCGATTTTTGCAACACTGGGCGACATTCAACATTGAGAAATGAGCCAAAATCATCATGTTTAAGAGCAATATATCTTTCATGTAAATGGAGTGAACATTTTCAAAAAGTATATTGACCATCAACTTGCAATTTGAACTCCATTAAGTTACATTTGGCAACAGTACGTAACTATGGTAGTAGTGTAGTATATAAAGTTGGCAGTCGCAATAGCGGTGGGCTTAGAGCATCCTTAACAATGCAAGTGTTTTTGTGATTTTTGCAATGACAACTTGACAAATAAAAAAGAGAGAAGGGAAGAGAAAAAAATTGAGAATAAAAAAAATCTGACAATAAAAGAACAAAAAAAGAGTTAATTCCAGCAATGGTCCTCCGACTATGTTGATTTTTCAAAATTAGTCATTGACTTTTAATTTGGACACTTTACGTCCCTTGACTTTCAATTTATTTCCAATTGAGGTCCTTTCGTCAGATTACGGTAAATTGGACTTTAAATGAAAGGGTAAAGTAGTCATTTTATCTGTCTAATATATAATTCTTCATATTTTTCCCTTGTATGCGCGACTTCGGACATCGGATTCACTTAATTGCTTAATTCTTAAATCCACTCGAAGAACAAAATTCCATTAAGGATTAAGCAATTAAGTGAATCTGATGTCCAAAATCGCGTATACAAGGAAGAAATACGATGAATTATACATTAGACAGATGAAATGACTAATTTACACTTTTATTTAAAGTCCACTTTACCGTAATCTGACGAAAGGACCTCAATTGGAAAGAAATTGAAAGTCAAGGGATGTAAAGTGTCCAAATTAAAAGTTAGAGACTAATTTTGGAAAATCAATATAATCGGAGGACCATTACTGGAATTAACTCACACAAAAATTTAAAGTATATTTACACGCCTAATTGGCACGTGCATGGGACACGCTTGCCACAAGTTGCGCGGCAACTTATTTGTATACATTAAATACATTATTTAACTAGCAAATCGGCCTTTAGTTAATCAATTCAAGAATTTAAAAATAAGGACATAGTAAATATTAGACAAGTACGATCAGTGAACGAAAATAAGAGCTAGTGTGAAAATATTAGAATTGATACACATTAGGAGTAATACTGTTTTTATTCTTCGTTCTTAGTTTAGTTATCCTTTTATTTACTTTAATTTCTCAGGATATTCTTCCCTATAAGCAATATTCCTGTTTGTATAAGTTAGAGCTTATATTTTACAATTAAGCAAGAAGACTATCAGCATGATTCTTACAAAGAGCAACATTAATTTGCACCAAATCCAAAGGATAGAATCTTTTAGCCTCATCAACTGTGGTTAACATGGACCAATCAAAAGAAATTGGCAATCATCCTTGACATTGTGTAAAAATCATGAGTAAATCCTGGTTGATAAGAAACCCAGCAAAAGAATTGCCATGTTGTTTCTGCCTCATATATCTTGCATACTAACCGAGTTGTCCACACAAATTTTCCACCCTCCAATGCTGCAATGCACTAGTTAAAGCAGCAGGGTCCAGCCATGGCTTCAATTGAAGTTGATCTCCAACATCTTCAGAAACAAAGTCAGCATTTTCTTCCTCATTAACATCCATGGAATATGCAATACTCTTAATTCTCCTATCTGGAAGCATTTCTCTGATCAATTCATTCACACTTTCATCATAACCTGCATCCTGCATTCGCTGCAATGACCATTGCATAGCTCGACCAGCCAATATTCCATCATCCCTCATTTCATCAAACAAATCTTTGACAGCATCTAACTGAAAATAAATAAATAAAATAAAGTAATCAGTATTATTATTAATGAGGAATAACTAAGGGTCCGTTTGGAAACCCCAAAAATGACTACCAGAAGTCATTTACCGGATTTTCTCGTGTTTGGATATTCATTTTGGTCAACGGAAAAATGTCCAATTTAGCAAAAAAACGTCTTCCTAAATTTTTAGTTACAGACATTTTCCAGATTCTTTATTTTCCCGTATTTATCTTCTCTCTCATATCTTTTCAAACTAGTTTCCGGATTATTATTATCATCGGTGGTATCCCGTATTTATCTTCCTAAATTATTACTAATGTCTGTAACATGTTTTTGTCCTTTTCTTCTTGTTTTTGCAGACGGATGTCCTCAAAGTTCAGTTTTAACTGTCTAGGGTGCAGGAAGAAAGTGAAGAAAGTCAAGAAACTCCTCAAGAAGATTGAAGGTATGAAACCTTCTTGTTCCTTCTTGCATGTTTTACTTTAGTACTCTAAAAAAAGCTCATTCTTTGGTTGCCTAAATTATAGTGTTGTATGGGGTTTCTACTCATGTGAGCATGGATGTTACCCCAACTCTATGAGAGTGGTATTGATCAGTTGGGCTATGAAGAGTCCTTTAAACAGAGTATGGCATTTGAATCCCAGGAAGGAGAAAGAGACAACAAGTTTTCTACAACTATGGAGATGGATAATCCACATGTACATCAGGATCATACAAGCATTGTGGGAAGAAAGGAGAACTCCATGATGGATTTCCTAGCTCCCAAATCTAACTTTCCCTATTTTACTACTACGGAAGGGAAAGGACATGCAGAGTTAGCTGGGCATCAATATCATTATTCACCATACAACATGATGAATAACATGCAGGTGTACCAGTACAGGAATCCATCTCCCATAACAGTAAACCCTTATATCAGTTATATGCAGAGAATGCATCCCATCGAACACATGGACAATGTGTAAATGCATCAACCAAGGATGATGATGAATCACAAATTTGACATGGTTCCACCTATCAGCTATTGGCAGAACATGAACATGAATAGCTACTATATTTTAGTAAATTGATCACCCCGTCCTAGTTTGAGTCTGATAGACTATCAATAGCAGTAACATTAAATTATATAAAACATCAGCCTTTGGGTGTTTACTGTACCTACCAAGTATTATCAAATTAAAGCTGAAATTCTTTTCTGCATTAAATTCTACAAATGCCATCTCCATTTCTTCAGTCACCTTAAAGAGATATAGAATCAGTGTTAATGTTCAAGGATTTTCTTCTAGACAAAGATAATCAATGCATGCTTGTTAAAAATGGAATGATCAAAGACAATGATAGGACATTCATACCTACAAAAGTTTGGATGCCAAGAAAAGGCTACAACTTATCTACCGCTTCCGGGCTTTCCTACGTCTAGATTCTACCTTCTGCCACTTCTTTCTCGGGACCACTTTGCTCTTCGGTTTTAACTTCAGTTCAGGAGAGAACTTATAGTTTGGATCTCTCATACGAGCTTGAATGTCCTTAAAAAACTGCATATTCAACTTCCTAGGTCCCCCCTGCCTGAGTTCAGCATATTCTGGCCCTGAAATGATGTTCTCAAAAGCCCCTATTAGAATGTCCAGATCACTCATGACTTCCCACACATTGATGTATCTACCATCAGGCCCCTTCTTCAATTTCTTAAGGGCATTTTCAACTGCAAGTTTCCTAGCTTGCTTTCCACGCGGTAACTCTTCTGGCTCCTCCTCATCTTTTAAAGCCTCAGAGAGTGTTCGATACTTTGGCTTTTCATCAAACTCAAACAGTTTATCTATATATTCATCACTCTTCTCGTTTGGATAAGCTTCTGTAGGGATGTCATCATCATCATCTCCTTCACTACCAGTCCACAGCGTCTTCTCTTCATCACTACCAGACCACACACTTCTTAGCTCATCACTGTCGTCTGCATCAATGCGATCTGAGTGCTCTATAGCTCGTTGTTTGGCCTTTCTGATTTCCTTCTTCAAAGAACTTGGCTCATTTTCAGGTTCACTCTCGCCCTCACTTCCAGTCCATAAACAGTTATCCTCATCCTCCATTTCTTTAGCCCAAGTTTTCCTGAATTCCTGGGCTCCAGGTACACGACCCTTAAATAGATCATAGTAACGTCTACTGCGAGCATATGATCGCCCTGCTGCAAGAAATAAGCAAATGGATAAAGCATTACTTAAAAAATTCAGCTATATATATATATTTGATACATTGGGTTTCCGGCTTAGGGTAGACTAATCCTAAGCCCTCAAAAGCCTTGCCAAAGAGTAGTGAGTTCAGGCTATATTTTCTCCTTCATCACTTATGCTGCGAGAATCTAAATGCTTTCATTTTCAATTAATACACAGTTGAAGCAACGATATAGAAACTGCAGCTATTCAGAGAGTAAAAAGTTTAAATTTTTTCTGTGAGGAAAATTGACAAACAGGTAATCCGCGTTCAGAAAGAAGCCGCAAACCTTGGGCTTGAAGGAGTTGGGAGAAAGCTGAGCCATTACGAAACGGGTTGCCTGCAT